AAATGCAAAACACAAGCAGAGGAGAGGAGAGGAGAGAGGAGGAGTTTCAGTTTCAGTTTCACAGCAGCACCAAGCAGCACAGTATTACAGCACAGTTGAGCTAAGCCATGCCCAGGCTCCTTGCTGTCTCCTTCTTGCTCACACAGCAAATACTGTTTTGGTTTCCAAACAGCCCTCAGCTCTCTCACACAGTGACAGGATGCTAGCCAGATGAATACCGATGGAAGCTGGTAGGCAGAGGCAGACTTTTTTCCCCTTATTTTCCTCCCCAAAAACTAAGCCTGACCACATAGTTTCGTAGCAAAGCACAAGTATATGATATTATAGGCAACCTAAACAAAACATACATATTATGGACAAAACAGAGGTAGTCCTTGACTTACGACCATGACTGAGTCCAAAATATATGTTGCTAAACGAGACATTTGTTAACTGAGTTTTGCCCCATTATACCACAGTTGTTAAGTCAATTGTCTCCAGTTGTTAAGCTAGTCACATGATTGTTAAGTGAATCTGGATTTCCTCATTAGGATTTTGCTTGTCAGAAGGTCGCAAAAGGGGATCACATGATCTGAGACATTGCGGCCATCATAACTATGAGGTAGTAGCCATTTATCCAAAATGGTATAAGGTTTCCTGCTTATGCAAAAGGTTGGACCAGGGATCACTGGTGGTCCATGAGAAAATTTTGGGGGCCCTCAGAGAAATGTCACCCCAAAGCAATTAATCCAGGCTGCGCGGGAACACAAAGCTACGCCACCCACATGGCCCATGGGAACACAAGGCTTGTGTTGCTTGCATTGCGAACAACATGAGGTAGTGAGGGGAGGGGGGAAAGGGAGGAGCGGGGGAACTTGCCCACTCACCCCACATGCCTGGCCTGGCCACCGAGCTGCTTCTTTCCGCTACTTTTTTCTTCTGCTTTGGGCTGCATGCAAGGAAAGCAGTCAAAGTCTTTCTTTCTCTCCCCCAAACTCTGCCAGAAATGAGTCTTGCAAGGCCACCTGCTCCAAGAGGCTGCGTCATTGTGACAAGTCTCTCAAAGACTCATTTTTGGGGGAATTTGGGTGAGAGAAAGAAAGACTTCTGCTGCTTCTGCTACTTTCCTTGCATGAAGCCAAAAGAGTCAGTCTCTCTCTCTCTCTCTCTCTCCCCCCCCCCTGAAAACGGAGCTGGAGACAGTATCCTGCAATCCCAAATAAAGAACAATCAATCGGTAGGAAAACGGGGTGGGGAATTTTCCTGCAGACTTTTTGGGGGGATTTCCCCCAGGATCTCTGGTCCATGGGATTTAAAATTATGAGTTTGGTGGTCCCTGAGGTCCAAAAGGTTGGTGACCCTTGGACTAGATGACCTCCAAGGTTCCCTCCAGCTCTGTCATTCTGTTAATTGAGGAAAACAAGGCCTTTAATTATGTATTTCTGATGAGGTAGGGTCTGCTTCAGCAGGTTGGACTAGAAGGCCTCCAGGGTCCTTTCCAACTCTGTTATTCTGTTTTTTATAAACAAATTTACTACCCGTGCTGATTGCCTCCAGAAATGGTAGATTGATGAACAGAAGCATTTATGTCCCCGAAAATACCAAGCCATAATAAAACATTTAAGCCATGCTGGGTTTGGGATGTATTGATGGTTGGCCAAATCAGGCCATTTTTTTCCCCTTTGTGAAATGTGTAATGCCAGAAGCATTGGAAGTTGTCCAATGAATTAGCCTGTGGCCTATCTCTGTTTGTGCTGCCTGGGCTGGCTTCTTTTAAAACAATATGACACCCTCTTAGCAGAAGCATAATGTCTCGAGAAGCTCAGGCCATCTGTTGACTTCATCAATACATTTTTCTTGGGTGTTCGCTTCGCCTTAAGCTACTGTTAGAGATCTGGGTTTCTTTGGTAATAAAACGCCTGATTCATTGCAATTGATCGGAGCGTTTCCTGTTTCTTTAGACCTTGCCTGTAGATTTCTCGAGAAGGCAACGTATTTTTTTCTTAATTAACTTGTGGCTTCAATGTACCCTGAGACTATTGTTCCCTTCGTGTTGGCCTTGCTCAACAAAAGATCAGAATCTCTTGTCAAAGAGAGTCTTGTTCATAGCATAACAATAACAGTTTCTCTGTCTAGTTAGGTCTGGCTCTAGGGCATAGTGCTTATCTCTGTTTCTTGGCTGAGGGAACCAGTGTTGTCTGAAGACATTTTTCATGGTCATGTGGCCAGCATAGCTATATGGCAAAGGTGCACAGATCATTGTTACCTTCCTACCGAACTGGTACCTATTTATCTACTTGCATTTGAATAGAATGGAATGGAATGGAATTGAAGGGTAGGGTAGGGTAGGGTAGAGTAGAATACAATAGGGAATAGAATAGAATAGAAATGCAATAGAATAGAACAAGGGAAGGGAAGGGAGAATGGAATGGAATGGAGTAAAGTACAGTAGAATACAATAGGGAATAGAATAGAATAGAATAGAATGGAATAGAATAGAATAGAATAGAATAGAATAGAATAGAATAGAATAGAATAGAATAGATGAAGGGAAGGGAGAATGGAATGGAATGGAGTAGAGTAGAGATCAATATAGAATAGAATAGAATAGAATAGAATAGAATAGAATAGAATAGAAT